ATGCTCTTACCATGTGCAGCCATTAATGAGAAGAGAAGTCTTCATTATCCCTCAGCAATTTCTTTCCTCTCACCGCCCTCTACATCGACATACAGTACAGCCCTTTCCTGTCATGTATGCGACTCCCCACCACCCCTTCCCACCACAATCTCTCCTTGCGCACCACCTACTTTTATTCATTGTCATCTTCTTTTTCTTCTTCGTTTGAAAATCTTAGATCCAGTCGCAAATAAGAAGAACGAGAAGACTGGGGAAGGGATTCCAGAGGGGGAGGGAAGTTAGGGAAAGGGGTTCACAGAGGGTCGAAAAAGGGTATCGGCGGTGGAGGTTGCCGGTCGGAGAATCGGGGTGGAGAAGGCTGGGGCTTGGCATTTAGAGCGACCGTGGTAGTAAAGGTGCTCGTCGGTAAGGAAGGATGGGCTCGCCGGTGAAGGAAGAGGGGCTCGCCAGTGAGGAAGGATAGGCTCGCCGGTCAGGGAAAAGGGATCTCCGGAGGTGATAGTTAGCGGTGGGTAGGTTTTGGATTTGAGAAGATAAGAATAAAAATTTGGCATTGTTGAGGGTGTAATGAGATAAAATTAAAATTTTAAATTTTGGAAATGATGTAAAAAGAAAAAGGGTGTAAGGAGATCTTTTTGTGGTGTAAGTAGAATTAAAATCACATTAATTAAGATGTAATATTTTATCATATTTATTAAAATAACCTAAGAAAAATAAGTGAGAGCACTAATTAGTGCCACCACTAATGATGTGATAGTAGATCTCATCCACTGCCGCAGTATTGTTGTGTTTATTTTATTTTTTTTAAAAATGAATGTCACATCATTAGTGATTGCTTTAGAGCACCACTTTTAGTGGTCTCTATCATTGCCCATAACCTAAACATGATATTTTATCCTATTGTCTAAAATAATATATTTTGTATTTATTAACTAATTGGATCCCAAACAACCCCAAATGTTAACTAGGGTTGGCAATGGGCCGGGGCGGGGTCGGGGATCACACTCTCCGTTCTCGATCCCCGTTGACAAAATTTTCCCCGGCCCCGGCCCCGATCCCCGACGGGAAACCTATCACCGTCCCCATTCCCACCTCCTAACGGGGATTGGGTTTCCCCGACCCCGAAAACTCCCTGGAAAAAAAAAAAAAAAAAAAGGCTCCAGTTGCAGATCTAATCTAACAACACAATCATAACCAACTCAAAAACCCTAAACAGAATCAGAATCAAAATCACCTCTTTATACCACAATCACAATCACAATCACAATATAACAACACAATCAGAATCAGAAGTTGAAGTTGTAAAACACATAAATATATAGATATATACACACATGGACACACACACACACACACACACAGAAAAACTAGATCTAGATTTAAAATGGTTCATGGAGGACTCCACCATGCTCGATCGATCTCGTTTTCCCTGGAGTAATATACAGTGGTGAGGATCTAGAGAGGGACGGGAGTAGGGGTAGCACGGTGGTCGTGGCGTCGAAGGAGGTGGTGGCGTCGGAGGATGCAATGAGTTGACTTCGGATGCGGAAGAGGGTATAGATGGAAGAGAGTAGAGGAGAACGAGAGAGAGAGACGGTGGGTGTGGTGCGATGAGCGAGTGAAGAGATAAGAGAGAGGAGACAGTCTCAGATTTAGAGACGAGAGAATGAGAGAGAGAAAGAGAGAGCTGAGATATATTAGAATGATAGATATAATATTAATATAACTGTAGACACCCCATTTTTGACCGTACTCAAGACTTGGACGTCACTGTTTGAACACACGGTGATCTTCCATGATTGTGTTCGTTTGGAGTTCCCGGAGGTCTCGGCTCGTGCGCCTTACCTCAGGATCCCCGAACTCGACTGTTTAGTGTCTGGTTTTGCACCCTAAACATATATATATGCGGAATATATATTCGGGGATTACTCGGGGCGGGGCCGGGGCCGGGGGAATCTATCCCTGTCCCGGGCCCGAAATTGATCGGGGATTTAATTTTAAATACCATCCCCGTTTCCACGGGGGTATTTTTCGGGATATAACCATTCTAATCGAGATAGGAGGGTCGGACTCCCGTCGGGCCGGGTTCAAATTGCCATCCTTAATGTTAACCAAACTTCTCCATTCAAGAAATTTTTCTTGACAAAATTTACTGACTGCATAGACTTCTCCAAAGAATTCTACTTGACGGGTATCTCTGCAACTGGAAAAGACTATAGTACACATATAGGTGGACATCAGCCTGTTGGCCCGCCAAACCTAATTTAGTCCTATTTTTTTAGAGTTTGAGAATATGATTTTAATCTATAAGGCTTATCTCTGGCCCGGCTCGACTCGGCGCAGTGCATGTTTAATAAACTAATTGATTTATATAATATATTAAAAATATATACACCCTTTTAATTGTATAATTTTTTAATTTTTTTTATTTCATGTTAATAATTTATTTGTTAATAATGTAGGAAACTAGTATTATTGAAAATAATGGTTAATTGTGATTATAACTTTTCAGAAGATGATAATGAAACAAGTGAAGAAGTTTGAAATTTAAATCATGAATTATATATATATATAGTTTGATGTACTACTAACAGTTTGGTTTTAAAAATTTTGAGCTTATAAAATTATAGGTGTGTTTGGTTTAAAAAACTATATAGTGTTTTAATTAATATGGTATTGAATATTTAACTGGTAGTTACCCAATATGCCTTTATTTATTTATGAAAAAAAGGGTAAATTATATTGAATAATCTCCCTCATATTTGAAAAATTACATTCCCTTCTTTGAGGTTTATAATCTCATTACAAATTGTCCCTTGGATTGTTGATATCATGCCCTAAAATTTTCTAAATGACCATCTTGCCTTTTCTCCTATCATTTCTTCTTCTTATTATCATAACTATATTTTACAACTTTCCATCATTAAATTCTATCCAAACATATTCTTATTGAGTAATGATATATAAAAATAAATTTTATATAGATTTTTCAAACACAATGATATAACTTAATGGTGATCTTTTCCTTTAAAACAAAACATGTATAAACATGATTTATATTTACAACAATATCACTATCATAACATTTTTATGATATTTTTGTATACATTTTTATAAATGAATATAATTTTTCATTTTTATTTCCACCATTATATTTAGATTAGATCAATTTAATTCAAATATATTTAAAAAGTATGAAATTTGTACAGAAATTTTTTTAAAAATTCATTGAATACAAAAAAAAAAAGATAATGTATTGAATTTTTGTATTTTTTTATTTTAAAAAAAATTACAAATTATTATACTTCTTAAGTATATCTAGATTCTGTGTATCTAAAAAATAAAAAAAAAATTGCTTAAAAATAAAAAAAATTCAGTAAAAATTGAAATTTGTACAGAAATTTTTTTAAAAATTCATTGAATACAAAAAAAAAAAGATAATGTATTGAATTTTTGTATTTTTTTATTTTAAAAAAAATTACAAATTATTATACTTCTTAAGTATATCTAGATTCTGTGTATCTAAAAAATAAAAAAAAAATTGCTTAAAAATAAAAAAAAATTCAGTAAAAATAAAAAATAAAACATGAAAAATAAGAAAAAAATTCAATTTTTCGTGTGAGTTAAACCAAAGAAGATTATTACTTCCCTTGAAATGACATGAACACAATATTTGTATTATTTTATTATTTTATATGTATAATGACTAAGGGAAAAATATGACATTTTAATCTGACAAGGTGGTAAGTGTAATTTTTCAAATGTGAGGGGGAGATTTGTATAAAATAGAAATCTCATGAGGTGTCTGTGTAATTTACCATATGAAAAAATAATAAATACTATAATGTTTAGTTTCTTTTAATAGCTTATGTATATGGCCCAATGAACGGATTTTAAAATTATAATTTATATTAAGACTGGGCTTAAGATGATTGTATAGGTCCGATATTCGGAATGAGCGAACTTAGGCAGACATAAAATCTCTTATTAGATAGTATCGGTCTGGCTTGACTCGGTGAACGAGCACCTCCATGTACACATTCTCAAAGGCTACACACCCTTAAATATGCACATTATAATTAAAGAAAAAATGACATAATTTCATACTTTTTGAATCTTAATTAAACAAAATCATAATCAAATATTACATTAGGTATAACTAAACATATCAATATAACTAAGGCTGGTGTAAGGGTTAATGGATTGGAGTTAATCCGAATCCGATCCAAATCCAATCCAAAAATTCGATTTCGTTTACAAAAAATCTGATCGGGCAATTCGATAAGCCAAATCTGTTTATTAAACGGATTTGAATATGCAAAAATTCGATCTAATCCGATAATTTGATATGATTATTCTCAATTTGAATGAAGAAAACACAAAATTAAAAAAAATCAAATTATATAAAATTATAGCTCAATAAATAAATAAATGGATCGAATCGGATCGAATATCCAAAATTATCATATTCAAATTCGAGTGATCTATAATCAAATATGAGATAAACAGATTTGGATCGAATTCAGATTTGTCTTATTCGAATTTTGAAAAATCCAAATCTGATCCATTTATAGGCTAGGGTGGTGCATACGGTAATGTCATGTTTGTTTGGGTAGATATATGTTTGGGATTGGACTAATAGTCTAATAAAATTATTAATTCAATGTTTAGTTAAAAAATTGAGGTACAGACTAACAATTAATCCTGATATGACATTCCACATATGATAGACGATTCAATCCTACATAGGAGTGAGATATAAATTGGGAAGTCAAAGTTTGAACTAACTTATCAAATGATCATAATTTGTGATCAATATATTAAATATCTCATATCATATTCACTCCAATCCCCTTCAATAAATATCAAATTAGATTATATTTTATTAATCTCTCCTTATAATTTTAATTCAATCCAAATATAAAATAAAATACACAATTTAAAAAAATCATAATCTTAAAACTGTTAATTATAAAAATATTAATCCAACCCAATCCAATCCGCTACAAACATAACCTCAGCCGTGCATTGTTGAATTCTCCCTGCACTTTGTCTCTTTGTCAGCAGCTCTTCTCTTCATTTTGTCCGGGGCATGAGATAGTCTGGCTCTACTTTGCGCACGGGTTAATCGCCGAGATTCGAACCCATCAGTCTCTGTTCTGCAAGTAAAAAACAAACACAAGAAGTAAGAAGTAGCAGAAGAACAAGAAAACCCAGTGACGATAGCGAGAGAAAATCCCATCTTCGTCCATTTTGAGACAAAACAGAAATGGGTATATCATCATTGATCTTCTCTCTCCTCACACTTTTCTTACTCACTCACCCTCCACTTGTTTGTGGTAATGCCGAGCTCAGAGCACTCATTGACATCAAGGCAAGTCTCGACCCAGAAAACACCTTCCTCTCTACATGGACTGTTTCGGGCGACCCTTGTGACGGCTCATTCGAGGGCGTGGCGTGTAACGATAAGGGTCAAGTGGCCAACATTTCGTTGCAGAGCAAAGGCCTTACCGGCAAGGTCTCGCCGGCGATTTCTGGGCTCAAGCACTTGACGGGTCTGTACCTGCATTACAACTCTTTGTATGGTGAAATACCCAGAGAGATTTCGAATTTGACTGAGCTGAGTGATCTTTACCTCAATGTCAACAATCTATCTGGGAACATACCTCCTGAACTTGGAAACATGGATAGTTTACAAGGTTATGGTGCTAGATTGCTCTATCTCTATGTATGTGTTTATTATGTTCCTATTTTCCACTGAATTAAATAAGTGTTTTCTCTCTTTTTAAACAAATGGCTTGTCTCCAGGTTTTCTCAGAGTGTTTCTGTTTTTTTAATATTTTTCATCTTCTTTTCTTTTGGTGTAGTCGTTCTTGTCGTACAGTTCTACCTCTCGTTTTTTTTCTCTGCTGAACTCATGTGGGTTTTCTTTCTTTGTGCCTAATGTGATGGAGAAACTACTTTCTGTTTGAGTTTTCTGGGTATGTTGTTTCTATAGAGTTTATCTTATTTGGGTTCTCAATCCTCACTTAGAGATGAGCTGTGTTTGTTTGGTTGCTGGTGTGAGCTATGTGTTGTGTGTTTGGGGGCTGATGAGAATGGCTGCTGCAATTCTATTGCTTCCATACTGCACACTTGACTTTGCTGGTTTGGTCTCTTGATGGAGCTTAATGCTAATGTTTTAATTGATAATGACTCCTGCAGCTAATAGAGATAGTGCATTCCAGTATAGATTTCAAAATTAGAACTGTTTGCTCTTGTTTTGGGATCTCCCTGATTGGTGCACTCCTAGTTTGAAGGGTATACTCCTAGGATTTTAAGAGCTTTTTAGCTCAGTTCTGATTTGCACAAGTGGGTATGTTCCCTTCATTGTTTTGTCAATGTTGTTTTCTCTTTTACTGACATTATATTTTTACTTACCAAAAAACATAGTTGTGTTCACTGTGGTCTACCTTGAGGGTCACATTTTATAATTATATGACTGCAGACATGCAAAAGATTCAGCTTTGTTCACAAATTCATTTGCTCCTGCATCTTTGTTTGGAAAGTTTCATACTCTTTTGAGGGTTTTGCACTGTTCGAATTTAGCTCATATTTTTCTGTGAATCTTTAAACTGTTTCTTTAATTTCTGTGCTTCTGCAAGCTACTGATGAAGGTTTTGTTTAAGAAGTATCAATAGTGCTAAGCAGTTTGGCTTCCCAGTTTTTGTTTTTGTTTTTCTGATTCTAAACTTTGTTTGTGCTTTTGCCTATTTGCTTTGTAGTTTTGCAGCTTTGTTATAACCAGCTCACTGGAAGCATACCCACACAGCTGGGGTCTCTGAAGAATCTTAGCGTCCTTGCTCTGCAATATAATCAATTGACTGGTGCAATCCCGGCAAGATTAGGGGATTTGGGAATGTTGATGAGGCTAGACTTGAGTTTTAATCGCCTCTTTGGTTCGATTCCCACAAGACTAGCTGATGCTCCTTTGCTTGAAGTTCTAGATGTCCGAAACAATACTCTTTCTGGAAATGTACCTCCTGGTATAAGTGTTTATTTACTTATGCATGACATATTTTTCAATTTCATGTGTAAAAATTTAGAAGTCAGAAAAGCATTGAACCCTGTTTGATTTTGTTTTCACTGTGGATGATGCAGCTTTGAAGAGATTAGTTGAAGGATTTCAATATGAAAACAACACAAGATTATGTGGAGTTGGATTTTCAGCCTTGAGAGCTTGCAGTGCTTTGGATCATTCAAATCCAAATAGGCCTGAACCTTACCAAAGTGGCACAACCAGTATCTCAACGAGAGACATCCCAGATACAGCAAACTTGAAGTCGAATTGCAGCAAATCTAGATGCTCAAACTCTTCTAAAACCCCACAAGCTTCTGTTATTATTGGAGTAATTGTGGTTACTATTGCATTGTCTGCAATAGGGGTTCTGACCTTCTCACAATATCGTCGCCGGAAACAGAAGCTCAGGAGTGCATTTGATATATCTGATAACCATGTAAGTACTGATCAGGTTGTGGAGGTTTACAGGAAGAATGGCTCTCCCCTTGTCAGCCTTGAGTACTCCAAAGGGTGGGACCCCTTTGCTGATGGTCGCAATTTCGGGGGTTTCTCCCAAGAGGCCTTGCAAAGCTATAGGTTTAATTTGGAAGAAGTTGAGTCAGCTACTCAGTACTTTGCTGGAAAAAATTTGTTGGGTAGGAGCAACTTCTCAGCAATCTATAGAGGGATTTTAAGAGATGGGTCCTTTGTTGCTATTAAGAGCATCACTAAAACTAGCTGCAAGTCAGAGGAAGATGAGTTCTTGAAGGGACTGAATATTCTGGCCACTTTGAGTCATGAAAATTTAGTTAGGTTGAGAGGGTTTTGCTGTTCGAAAGGCCGAGGTGAGTGTTTTCTCATTTATGATTTTATTCCCAATGGAAATTTGCTGTACTATCTTGACCTGAAGGAGGGGGATAATCGGGTCCTTGAGTGGTCTACCAGAGTTTCTATCATCAATGGCATTGCCAAAGGTCAGTTCTATTCTGATGTTGCTTATTGATTGTTTCAAGCTGATCACTTTTATTGCATGGCTTTTCAAAGCACATTCACCACTCACTGTGGATTCAGTTTACATAGTAGCAATCATCAAGAAAAGGGGCACTAAAACAATAATTTATTGGCATTTCCTTCATCAAAAATATTTTGGACATGCTGCACTTCATTCTTAATAGAAGACCTGGAATGATATCATTTCCAATTCATTTGTAAAAAGCCATTTCGATGCTTAGTTTTGAATTAAATTACTCAGTTAATTCAATTCCTGGAGCTCAGCGACATTATTGTGCTTTATCTTATAAAAATCCAGAAGTTGTTGGCACTTTGTTCTTAAATGAGTAGTTCTTTCTTCCTCAATTTACTACACACTTTAAACAATTGAGGTCTGTACATTTGTTTTCTTCATGTTCCTCTTTCTTTGCATATTAGATCAACTTTCAAGAAAATGTATTGATTGCTGTTACATGATCTTACCGTGTAGACCTCATAAAAGTTATTTATTTATTTTAAAAATCTAAAAAAATGTAAAACTAAGCTTTGCCCATCTTTGTTAGCAGGTATAGAGTATTTACATGGGTGCACTGTGAACAAACCTGCTCTAGTTCATCAAAACATATCAGCAGGGAAGGTGCTCATTGACCAGCGATTCAAACCTTTGCTCTCTGATTCTGGCCTGCACAAACTTCTGACCAATGACATCGTCTTCTCAGCACTCAAGGCCTGTGCTGCCATGGGATATCTAGCTCCTGAATACACCACTACAGGCCGGTTCACCGAGAAAAGTGACATTTATGCTTTTGGGGTGCTTGTCTTTCAGATCTTGTCAGGAAAGAGGAAACTTACCAGCTCGATACGAGTTGCTTCTGAGTCATGTAGATTCCCCGATTTTATTGATAAAAACCTACATGGAAGGTTCTCAGAATATGAAGCTGCAAAGCTCGCAAAGGTTGCTTTGACGTGCACGCATGAATCGCCTGAGAAGAGGCCATCTATGGAAGCAATAATTCAAGAACTCGGTAACTACACTAACTGTTCCCGATTTCCATGACTTGATTCTTCAGAGAATGCTTGAGTATTTTCGAAAAGAGTAGTGATAGGCTGGAGATTCAGATTTTCTACTAACTGCTTACGGGTGATGCCACTCCTAGGGGATATTGTCGTATTTTCTGTGTCCTTTTGCTACTGAATGTCACTGTGGTCTAGTCTCTTGTAAGTTGTAGCTTAGAATGGAATTTTATGGGTGATTTCACTTGTAACTGCTTGTATCAATTAAATATTTCTTTTTGAATGGTGGCTTTACCTCCAACAAACGAAAACCATTGACTTCAAAATTATTGCCTCTGTAACTTATCAACATGTGTATGTATATATTGCCTTCATAAAAATATAGTTAATCTACATGAATCTTTGCATTGATGTGTTTGCTCCATCCTGTGAGAAAGTTTATCAATGATGCCTAAGAACTATTTTACTTGTGCCATTGACATTAGGTGTGAAATTGTTCATGTTGCTATTGATGAATGCTCATGTTTCACTGGAAATTTCTTCGACCAAAATTGCAGTAGAATGTGTAGCGAAGCCTGACTTTACAGAGTTGTACAAACATGAATATGTTCATTCTGTGTTAAAGCCAGAGAGTTGCTAATTACAAACATACAAAATGTGCTATTCACTAATTATGCTTGTCATATTTTAAAATAAGGCATATTCCTAGAGTAACCTCATAAAAATTATAGAAATTAGTAATGATGGATCATGGAATCAACCTTTGATAAGTTAAACATCGATAACAGAGTACAATGCCATGACATAACATTGTTTTTTGATTTTATGAAACAAGTCTGCCCAACTTGTTGGGACTTGACCAACTAATCTAGTCACATATTTCAACAATGAGACATCTTGAGTTGGGACAATTTTTTTTTTGATCGGCTTAAGTTGGGACAATTGGCTGACACAACATAGTGGGAAACAGAATGAAATTATCTTTCTAATGTTACAAATTACCATAGATTGCTATGATGGACTATATAAAATTTTGAGATTCATGTAGCCGACCCCATTTGATGGGACTTAAGGCTTGGTTTGGTTTGGTTTGGTATTCTCTAGTTTGGATTCTTTAAGCCCCAAGTTGCTGCCATGCTCTGTGCTAGTCAGATTGTATTTATCTTACTCATACAACAGATTATCATTACATGTCAACAATAATAGACACCTTGAATTTGTTCCTCAAAGAACTAGACTAATGATAGTAATGAATATATCTTCTCACAAATGTGACACATTAACATTGATTGCTAAAATTAGCTCCAAAGACAACAATTATGACTATTCTCTTTTATGTCGTGCCTAAGATCCTTCTGTTATTTCATATTATTCCTTGTGATCACATGTTAACAATAACAGAGACATATTGAGTTGGTCTCTCACATAAATTCGGCAAATAAATAGTCAGAATTATAAGTTAATTTTGTCTTTTCATGCTAATGTGACCTATGAGCGTAGAGCATTATAATTAGGCTTCAGAACGCTACATTTACAGTAGTGTTTTTTTAAATTTTAAAATTTTAAATTAATTAATTGATTTTTTTTTACTGTAATGATAGCAATCGATGGCTTTTGTAGGGGAGAAGCACCTTTTGATATTTCAACTTATTTTCTGACTGGTGAATGATAGTTTTGCGTCTTTAGCTTATTTTTTTTTTCTTCACTTTTCTGCTGTTTTTAAAACAAGAAGTTCAGTTAACATTTTACATTAAATTGATATTCAGTTTGTTAATTCCAGGGTATTGCTTGATCTGTAGCATTGCTGCTTTGAATACAATTGGTTATGAATCTATATCCTGATACTAAATTGAGTCTGAACTTTATTTGCATTTGATGAGCTAGCAGCCCCGCATAATGGCATCTTACCTATTCTCTCAAGTGCAAAATAGCAATGCAAAACATTTTGTTTATAGTTTTACCCTCTATATGGTTTTGGTTGGTTTCAATTCAGGCCCTATAGTTTTAATTTGAACAATTTAAATCTTTAATTTTAAGAATTGTGTCAACATAACTGTCGAAAAAACCAGAAGGTTGCTGCATTTATTTATATATGATAGCTATTTACATTTTGAGATAAAAAATTCCCTTGAGGAACTAAACCTCAATAACTCTAACCTTCAATAACTTTCATTTGTGGAGATCTGACCCTGAACACATGCTCTTCACCGGTGCATTTATCTACTTTCACAACCCAGTGACTTCTCTTTCTGAAGCCGCCTCCACCACCACCACCAACCTTGGCTTTTGCTGCTATTCTAGTCAATAGCAACCCTTCTCCGATAGGCAACAACTGCGTTTTTGACCCACCCCACGACCACGAGTCGTTGCAAAATGCATTGTACCCCAAAACAACGGTTCCATTATGTCTTTTACCTTCTTCAACTGCCTTAAAAATTCTCTCATGGTTCTTGAGATTGCAATCGATGACCACAAAATCAGCTTCCCTGTAGTCATTCATGAGCAGAGACTGAGCTTCCCCAATGACAAACTCAACGCGCCTCGCGTCAAGACCTAGTGCCTTTGCGGACAAACATAGCTCTTCTGTCCCGGTCAGGATGCAGACAACCCGTCCACCGGTTTGGTGGGCTGCGGCCACCAATGCCAGTGTGGTGGAGCTGCAGGTAGCATTGGCTGATGCAACAACCATGAGTTGTGCATTGTTGCCGGCAGCGAGTGCCGATACAAACTCAGCTACATCTGGCTCTTTCGCTCTTGTTACCTGCATTTAGAAGAAATGAAAACTTAAGTACAATTAATTGAAAATTAAAAGAATAATAATAAAATGAGATTTGGAGGGGAAATTAGTGATCTTTGTTGGGTTTGAAGAGGAGTGGTTTGAATTACTCACCATTTTCATGGTTTTGAGGTAGGCTCTAGTGGCATTTTCAGCTGACCAACAAGCCATCTCTCTCTCTGTATATCTTGAGTTTTTTTTCCTCTTTGTTTCTTGGTTCAACTTGTGGGAATTGTAGAGAGATCCTTCAACCTTATATACAGGGTATATGACCTGGCCTTGCGTACCAAATTGTATTAATTATTGTGAAGTAATGCTAGAGTGTGTAAAAGTTTTATCAAAATTTCTATCAAATGTCTCATATAAGAGTGAGACTCATTTCATATTACATATGTGGTAAAAATTTTAATAAATTTTTTGAGACGTTTAATATTTTTCATTATGAGTACTGTGGGGAGGGAGGGAGGGACTGGGATCTGCTCATCCAACTTGCAATATCTTTAAAATGTTGCTCCAACTAAAATGTAGAAGTGAATATTAAAAAGCATTAACTAGCATTTGTTTCGATGCTAGCATGTGGGGCTCCCTTGATCACATTCAAGGAGGAGGATTGTTCACTCTCTGATCTTTCCCTCATACTAGTTCTATTTTCATTTTTTTTTTCTTCTTAACAAAAATCTGCCTTTTGTTTCATTAGTTTTGAGTCGCTGCAGATTTCTCTATCCAAAATTCATTCTAGTTTAATTTGCAAAAATTTTTACCCCAACAGAGACATAATTTTTCCAATCAGTCGACTTTGGGAATTGCTTTTACCAATATTATCAAAAAAATTGTTTGATTGAATTCTTAGATTGTATTTTTTGATTTTAAAAAAAATTAAAAACTAGTTTAAAAAAATTACTTCAAAAAATATTTTTAAAATTTTAAAAATTATTGCCTAGAAAAAGCTAAAAAAAAGATGAATCATATGAAAATAATGAGTATTTTTTTAATTTTTTTTTTTATTTTTACCAAACTGGTTCTTCAAAACAAATTTTAAAAGAAAAATTATAAAAATTGAACTAAACTGAGAGCCTACAAAATTTCAATGTGAATTTTTCGCACACTCCTTAATTTGTTAGGACATAGAAGGAGAAGAAATATGTGGCATTCAGTTGTGTAAAAACATGGTGGAAATTGTGAGGTTGCTTGCTAAATGTACCTTGTGTAAGAGCATCTTTAAGGTTTATTTATTTATGTGTGCTTTTATATTAAGTTTGAGTAAAAATTTCAGTCAACGTTTGATCTGATATCAAGTGTTGTAACAAAATTTCATCAAATCATCAGTTGACTAGGAGGACGATTAGAAGGATGTCTGGCCGGTTGACCGGCCAGTGTAAATTGCTCAGTGTAAATTGTAAAGAAGTGGATGTCCGAGGGGGACAATCTGTCAGTAGTCCAGTGCAACTGCACTAATAGTTATCAACAGTAATTTAATGAAAGACTCTAGACGTCCTCAATTTGATGAACAATTCGAGACATCTTTAATTTGATATCAAATTGATGAAGCGGTTGGAGCACCATTTCCATTAATTTTTCATTAAATTTAAATTTGATAAAAATCTGGTAAAGCATCGGAGACACTCTAATATGCAATATTTGTGGTATTAATTATTACTAATGTAATAGGAAATCATTTTTAATCGTTAACTAAAAAAATAATAAATTATAAGCAAACAGTACATAAACTGCAATCAAACATGTTTTTTATCATAAGCAAAATAATCATAATAGATGATAATCAATATCACATTGAATCATAATTAACTCATAACTAACATCTACAGCTAAATATTATGTTACACACTCTAAAATAGGCCGGATATTATAAAATTTCCGCATAAAATTTAGCATAGAATTTAACTTTGGTGAGCTTCCGGGAGACCGACTCTGCAATTATTACAAATTAATTATTTAATGGTGTACACAAATTAATTGAAAATATTCATGTGTTATGAGCTGTAATGTTGAGTATCAAAGGGACAGTTGAAACTTCTGTGAAGAAATATGTAGCGATTAATTAAGGTTTTGTAAGGGTTTCTTAGAGACAAATCACTAAACATCCATGTTAGCCCTGACAGAATCCAGCAAAAACTTGTTAATTTTTATTGTTAAGTATTCGTCATTATATTTATTATCAAAATAAATAAAAGCAAAACTATGTGCTCATACTGGTTGGTCCTCTTTTTGTACGGATTTTCATTGTTTTGATCTGCATTCTTGGTTTGGAGTTTTTAGAGGTAAATCAATAACCAAATCAAGTTCATATAGTTCCATAAATTTAGGAATCAAACCTAACTTGAAACCTCCGAAACCAAATAAAATCACAAAGAAAACGATTCATTTCTGATTCGGCTTCACGGTACTAGGCTAGAAAATTTAGTACTATATCAATACCATCAAGTTTAATAAAAAGTAATTCTATATTCCAAAAATTTCATAAATATCCTTTAAATTTTTTGAATATTCTCCAAACCAAAATTGTCAGAAAATGCTTATATTAGCAAATCATAGTTTAAAATACACATTCCTAAATATGGTATATTTTCGTTCCAAAACTACAAATTTAACAATTCAAAGTGATCTTAAATTTTTTTTTAATATATTTGTTGTTATTTAAAAATCTAATAAATTAAAATCTGAGGTGAGTAAAGCTTTAACATGACAAAATGTTAAAAATAGGTCACAATGCTCAAAAAAATATGTTGCTATATAATTAATTTGGGCAAATAACTTGCATTTTATTGGGTATCTATGTGGTAAAAAAAATTACTCCACACTTGACTAGAAGTACTTTATATCTTATAGCATAAACTATATAGGTGGCGTACCTCTATCGTACCAGACATACCGCATTTCCATTTTCATTTAGAAGGATTATAGCTCCGGAATAGTTTCATAGAAAGTGTCCGGGCAAATAATTTTTTCATATTATATAGTAGTCACTATGAAAATAGAATTTTTAATAGATCAATACATATATAATTCATTTTCTTATCTTATTTTTACATTTTTAGACATAAAATAATGGGGCAGCTTGTCTCTAGTTCACTTGGATTAGACGGTGTTGTTGAGCCCGTGAGGCTCACTACAAGTCATGTTTCGATAATCTGAACTGTTTAATATGTAGAGCTCGTCAAGTACTTTATCTCAATAAAAATAACGTTGATCGGATATCAATAACTACTTGATCGGACTAGATTTTTATCAACAATTTATTTTGAACATTGTATTTACTATCGACGGAAATATGATTCGATCAAGTAACTATCGATATTCGATCAATATGATTTTTTATTTGGATATAGCATTTAACGAGTTTTACATATTCAATGGTTTGGATAATCGAAACGGGACCCGTAGTAGGCCCTCATGGGTCCAACAGCACATTTCAGTTTGATCACGGATTGGAGGGAAGCCTAACCCAAATAATGGGACCTACATCTATAAATAAATGGAGGTGTTCGGTGTAACTGTTAAAAATATAAGAAGTATAAAAATATATCAAAATGGTGTAAAAAAGAATGCTCTTATATTTTTGTACAGAGAGAAGGTATTTCGTAAATGGGTTATGTTAACAAGTGCTCTAGGGAAATTTGATGATAAGGAATAATTGATAATACTTCATCTCATTTAATGAATCTTGAAGTTTGTTAAATTTTAAATAATAAGCTAAAAATAGAAAGTTATTAAATACATTTAATTTATTTAATGGGTTAAAAATGTTTCAAGATTTATTAAATGAAATGGAATATTATTAATTACCCCTTATCAAGTGTTAATGGGCACTTGTTAGTATGACCCCTTATTAAAATTAACAAAAACATGGAATGGTTTGGATCAGAATTTTCTATTCTTTTGAACCTTAATCCGTAAATTGAATGTAATCAACAATTAGTTCATATTGGTTTATGGTTTGGCTATTTTTCTTTTGAACCTTATATTTTGTTTTTGAAATTATCTCAGGGCTTAAATAAGTTTGAATTAAATATTTTAGGAATTTAATATATTCAATTGCTAATTTAGGAACTAACTATACTTTGATTTATATATTTTAAAACTTAGTAGATTCAATCGATAGTTTAGGAACTAAATAGATAATTTGACGATAATTTAAAGGTAGAAAGTGTAATAAACCCTTCTTAATAATACTTGAATTAGTGATAGTAATCTTAATAAGATTGGTCCAATGATGTAAAATTGATTATGATTTGGTCCTCTGATAATGACATAGGTGGGCCCATAGAAGTTTTTGGCCCACCATTTAGAGCCCAATACATGGTTCAAATACTAAAACCCAACATTACTGGAACCCAACGTTACACCAAGAACCAATGACATCTAAACACTTGTCAAGAGGAGAACCAGTTATGTAAGCAGACAAAGATCCTGCAGAGTTATTGCACCACACATCAGCCATTAATGAAGCCCATGCAGCATTAAATGTGATAATCCCTTCACGTCGGAGCAGACAGCCTCACCATGAACAAGGCAAGCTAGAGCGTAGACTTTCGGCTAAAGTGACAGGTCAGAGTGGACAAGGAAATGATGAACGAAGGACATAAGAAGGCTTCCAAGACACAAAAAGGTTAGGTGCCCTATCGTTATTCTCCTATCATTCGCCATAAACTCCTCTCTCTTCTAACTTGACCGTTGGAGGGTCCGCTGGGGGACTCCCGTTCCCTGCTGGGCTTTTGTATAGGTACCCCGGTGGGCTCAGTGATTAGGGAATGGCATTGGAAGCGTGGGCCTACGATTAGCAGAACTATCAGTTGGCGCCGTCTGTGGGAACACCATTCCGCGTGACAATTATGCTCATTGTTACTGAAGACCCGTTCCCGATAATCCCTCATCGCTGACCATCAAGGCGAATGGTTACAACGAGATCCATGGCTTCTCAGCACAACAGTCGACCCCTAAGTTGACCCTACCAATCCAAACAACCCACCTCAGTACTTCATAGAACTCACCAACAGCATCAACCGCTTGGCCGAGCAAAACCAGGCTTTGATCAATGCTTTGCTCCAGCGAAACCTCTTTATACCTTCTCCACCGCCACAAGATATCCCTCCCAATCGAGAACAAACGCCGAGCCATCCTTTCCAGTAAGCCCACCTTTCCAACTTAGAGGGCCGGCAAGCTCCACCCCAAGACATGAACCTGCCACCTCGAGGTTTACATCTGTTCGGTCAAATA